TAGGTCTCGCAAGCCTCCCCACGACGTACAACAGGAGAGCTCGGGCCAACCTCACCGCTTGAGCCTCAGTTCCCGCCGAGGACGAAGGTGTAGCGCCCGTGATCGCAGCAATCCTTCCCGTCGCAGCTCCCCACATCAGCGCTTCATATGCTTGGGGAAGTAGGCCACCATGGACTGACACCACCACAGCGTCCTCGCCGTAGGTCTCTGGCCTCAACAAAGCCTCGTCTCGATGTACAGGTAGGTGAACAATCCATCGCTTGGACTCCATCATCCTTTTCCGAAGCCGCCGAGGAAGGGGTAGAGCCTTCAGGGTGTTCCAACCATCATGTAGTCGCACCTCCGGACACAACGTATCCAGGGCCTTTTCGGAAAACCCCTTCATGAAGGATCCATGCACTGCCTTCCACAGGTTCTTGGCTGAGCCGCTCTCCACGTACCTCATCGCATAGGTGGTCCACGGCAGCTTCTCCTCATGGATCAGGTGCTCGAGCTTGCTTTTGAGAAGATGCACCCCGTCCTTGAACTCCTTGAGCTTCCTCTCCTCAATGATGTTCACAAGCTTGGCCGCCTGGTCTTGCGCTAGCTCTGGACATCCACCACGTAGCGACGTCTTGAGTTCTCCCCATACTGGATGAACCACCTTGAACACACCTCGCTTCCAGCTGATTTCACATCCCGCGCTCACAAGCTCGGCCATCGGCAGGATCGGCTGGGTCCTTGGTGAGGTTGGAAGGATCGCGCCCGTCTCAGTTTGCAGCAAATCCCTCCTTTCGTCATTTGCCAAGGTCACAGACACCTTGGACGCAGCGTTCAGCTCCGCCTCGTCACGAGGTTGCCGAAGGATATGCGTGGCCCCTGAGTCAATCAGCGTCGGAACTTCAGGTAGTCCACTGAAAACTCTCTGGTCCAACGGAGTCTGCTGGGACTTTCTCATCTCTACCGCCTCCTCACTCACCCTGATTGCCTTCAACCGGAGCTCATCCAGTTGCCTTTGAAGACTCTCCAACGTGGATGTAGTAGATGACGAAGACGTTGTCCCAGAGCTCATCAACGACTTCAAAGCCTGTGCAGCATCCCGCAAGGCCTCCTTCACTTCTCCTCCGGTGTTCTCGGAAGTGGTAGGTGACGTCGGCGCTGATGGCTGTGGTTCTGGCTCCATTGACATCGACCTGGCCGCGGGATTTCCCCCGCCCTTCGTAGCGTCGTCCTTCGCCGATGGAGTTGTCGGAGCACTCTTCGCCTTCGCCTTGCCCTTGCCCTTTGCTTCTCCACCATCCGACTTCGTAGGACAAGCGTTCGAAACATGGCCCTCCGCCCCACACGTGTAGCATCTGTTCTTCTTGGAGACGCCCTCGAAAGAGTGGACAAATTTGCACGCAGCTCCGCGCCTGCATCCTCCCGGCTCGGTGAACCACTTACACTTCTTTTCCCCACTTGTAGTAGAGGTCGAAGGAGGAGTAGCCGCCGAGCTCGCTTGTAGTCCTTGTCGTAGGAAGGTCCTGACTCGCCATTTGTGGTCCAAATCCCTGGCTCTCCTCATTCGCAACCGGGCGCCCTGTAGCCAGCGACTCACACCTGGTAGCACTGATGCTAGGACCATACACCGTAGGAGGCCCCGCAGGTCCTTGTAGATCATCACCGCGAGGAAGTGCTCCAGGTAGGTCCTGAGTGCCAATAGCCTGACTTGTTTCTTCACGCAATCCTGGAGGTCCATCACGACGTCCTTCTGCCTGACGACCACCACCGACTGACTGGCTAGGCGCATGTGACTCACCGACTGACTGGCTAGGCGCATCAAAAATAACGCCACGAGGATCTCCATGATGCCGACGTCCATCGTCTCCTTCTGGAACCCTTGGACGCTGGTCACCCTGAGGTTCGTGCTGTAGCCTTCGTTCATCGTCGCCTGGCACCCTCTGCTGACGATCACCACGAGGATCTCCATGATGCCAATGTCCATCGAACCCTTCTGGAAGCCCTTGAATGCGCCCACCACGAGGATCTCCATGATGCCGACGTCCATCGTCTTCTTCTGGAACCCTTTGAAGCTGATCACCCCAAGGATCCCCTCGATGCCAACGACCGTCGAAACCTTCTGGAAGCCCTTGAACCCGCTCACCACGAGGATCCCCTTGATGCCGGCGTCCATCGAAGCCTTCTGGAAACCCTTGAAGTCTCTCACCTCGAGGATCTCCATGATGCCGAAGTCCATCGTCTCCTTCTGGAAGCCCTTGAAACCCATCTCTCCATTGGTCCACACGGGAGGCCCGATCCGCCATCAGTCGAGACCTTTCTGCACGAAGAAACCCGATCTCCTTTCGCATCTCTTCCAACTGGAAAGCCTGAGCCCTCATCATTGCATCCATTTGACGCTGAACTTCCGCTTGAATCTCCGACGAACCTGCCGTAGACGCTCCCTGGGACTGTCCTCCTCTGCCGTACAACCACGGCGCCCTCTGAGAGAACCGCATCACCTCCCTCGAGAACAAAGGCGCATCTGCCTCCGTAGGCCCCATTGCACCTGGTCGACCAGGCGGTAGATCCTCAGGCGGGGAAAATTCCAACGGTGAATTCCTCGCGGATCGAGAACCTGCTGCTGCCGTCTGCTGTGCTCGTGCTGGTGATGCTGTTGGCGCGAGTGCTTGCTGTGTGGCTCGTGAATGTCGGGGCCCCTGAGTAGGCGTCGTATTAAACCCAACCGAACCCAACACAGTCTGGCCTTGATTGCTCAAGAAGTCATTCAGCCTTGAAATCCAGCGCACAACAGTCAGCGAAGAGGCTCCTGGTTGAACCTCCATGTCAGCTCTGACAGCATGCACGCTACCATCTTGTAACGCCATCGCTGCAGACATAGAAGCTTGACTGCCGCCCTCACCCGATCCAGACACTACAGCCTGTCTCGCAACAGCAGCAGTCTCCTGCAACACAGGTCGAATTTCCTGGCCCGGCCCGTTCAACTGCACAGCCATGGCCTCCTGAGTAGTCGAAGGTCCTACGTGCGCCACGAGCTGTCCTGAGTTGCTCATCGAGGCCTGGGCTCCTTGGTGAGCTACCCCATTCGGTAACCCTCCAACGGAACCCAATGTCACTCCAGCCCTTGGCGGAACTTCATCATGCGTAGCGGGAGCGCTTGGGCTCATCACCTGAAGAGCAGGGGCATCGACTAACCCTTCAGCTGGAGCTGACATTTGGCCTCGTCGCCTTCTCAGTATCGTTTCCAGTTTATCGGATGATCCCCGAAGGAATCCAAACGACCATGGAGGAACGCGCACAGCCCTCTACTGTTTTTCCGCAGCAACAAAGGTGCATGCAGTTGTTGGCGCATCTGTGCACAGCCTAACAAAGCGGTTGCCGCTACTGCATGCTGGGTTCTGTCGATCATGGCTATAGCTCTGCATGCTGGCTTCTGCCGCTCATGGACCTAAGCCATCCTAAGCCCCTGCGTGCTGGCTTCTGCCGATCATGGCTCTCTGAGCCACTCCGCTTCGCAAACACAAGGATGCCTGACAAAACATGCTCCACATGTCTTCCTATACAGGAGAGAAGCTTCAGGCATCAGCAACTACTACTACTACTACTACTACTACTACTACTACTACTACTACTACTACTACTACTACTACTACTACTACTACTACTACTACTACTCTACTACTACTATAACTACTATAACTACTATAACTACTATAACTACTATAACTACTATAACTACTATAACTACTATAACTACTACTACTACTACTACTACTACTACTACTACTACTACTACTACTACTACTACTACTACTACTACTACTACTACTACTACTACTACTACTACTACTACTACTACTACTACTACTATACTACTGCTACTGCTACTGTACTACTGCTACTACTACTGCTACTGCTACTGCTACTGCTACTGCTACTGCTACTACGACTACGACTACGACTACGGCTACGACGACTACGCTTCGACTACGACTACGACTACTACTACGGCTACTGCTACTGCTACTACTGCTACTACTACCACTATTACTGCTGCTACTGCTACTACTGCTACTACTACTACTACTACCACTACTACTACTACTACTACTACTACTACTACTACTACTACTACTACTACTACTACTACTACTACTACTGCTGCCACTGCTACTGCTACTGCTACTGCCGCTGCCGCCGCTGCCGCTGCTGCTACTACTACGACACGATTACCGCCGCTACTTCGCCGACATCGAGTAGTGCTGCTGGTGCCGGCGCTATCACGTGATGCTGCCATCCATTGGAGGTGGACGAGAGCGTTGGCTTGAAGGCTGGGGATGTCGCGCACTTAGGTGCAGCAGCCGTGTGGTTGCCGAGATGGATACCATCTTCCTCACTATCCTTATCGGAAAGCTTGCGAAGCTCACAAATTTGCACAATGGTTGTTGTGTGTGTGTGTGTGTGTTATCTTGTGTGTTGCGATTGTTACCACTTAGTGTTATGCTTGTGAGTGTCACGCTTCCGACGTTGACCTTCAGTTGTCTTCGGCAGGAAAGTCATCATGATTCATTGTTGTCATTCAAAGTGTCAGTTTCATGCGGCCATCTCCATGTCTATGTGTCGATAATCCTCAGCATCAGTGTTCTTCCTGATCAACATCCTCGAATCCTGGATATCCAGGAAGACGAGGTCACAGCGAAAAGAATTGGAGAGGATGATCCGACGTCTTGTCACCGTGGTCCGAGGAGATTTATTTTGCCCCGATGCCGGTGGACAACAAGGCTTCGGGGCTTGTCCTCAGAAAGCAGGAATGCCTGTATTGGCATGACAGGCCACGGAGACCGACAAGTACTGGAAGCGACGGGGGCAGAAGTGGGAAGTGAAGAAGAAGGCTTTCGGTAGAGAAGTTTTGCACTTCGCAGGTGTCTTGCAACGAAGGAATCTCTCTCCTGCAGCCGTTGTCAAGCTGAGCACTGCAACATTTTCCAAGACTGCCCTGCCTTCTATAAGCTTTAAAGGCCAGGATGACCTCGAGCCAAAGCACGTTGAAGGCCATTGTGGCGAACTTTCCACGGCCCAACGAAGGCTTCGTTTCGGAGCCCGCAAGTTGGGGTAGCTTGGGTCACCCCGAACTCTGCCACCGGCCCTGCGTGTACATCCTGAAAGGGAGCGTGTGTCGGTACGGTGCTTCTTGTCAATTCTGTCACCACGGCCCCGGTCAGCACTCTCCGATGCCGAAGCTGGACCAGGAACAGAGGGCTCGTCTTCAAGGTCTGAGCGAGGAGGACAGAGTTTCTTTGTTGATCCCCCACATCCGGGAGAAAGCTCTAGCGGCCGGGCTGCCTGAAGAGGTCGAAGACTTCATCTGTGTCTTGAAGAAGAATTCAAACCAGACTTCTCACATCGAGCCTTACGATGACGATCATCGCAGAAAGAACATACCTCGCAAAGAATTCTGCCGGCTCAAGAAGACGCCTGGTCGCGACGGTCACGAGCATGTGCGATTTCCTTCTTTCTGCGTTGCTTTGCAGTGTCAGCTCTCCTCTTCCCCTAAACCTGGCAACCCAGTGGGACCCAGGACCCTGCGCAACATGAACTTGACGGCTTTGATCAAGCTCCTGGATCCGAATCCACAGGAAACCAATGTAACCACTGTGGACTGTGGTCTCCTTCTTACCGAAGTCATAGTAAAGATTTCCAGTCGCCATGGTTTCCTGTATCATAGTCGTTTGGACCACGTTCCAAAAGCAAGAGCCCAGGCTCTTGCCCACAGAGGATGAGGAGTTGGCCACAAGCTTCCAGAAGCTGCGGCTTTTCTCCGCAGGGCCAGGGTCTGAGGAAAGTTATAAAGGAGCTTCGAAATCACTCGACAGGGGACTGCCTGCAGTGCTTCGGTTGCACACCCAGGTTGGTGAAGTTCGAACTCTGAAGGAAGTCTTCTGACTGTCCTTCATTCGCCCCTTCCGGGGTTGCCTTCCGAAAATTCTTAAGTTTTGGATCTTCCGGGCGTTAGGGTACTGAAATTGTTGCAAGTGTGCATGTAAGGCCAAGCACTCAAGGGTCAAGGGTCCAGCATGCTTTCAGCGCGTGGAGGACTACCCGAACGCTGTTGTTCCCCTGAAATTTGAGTCAAGGGACAGCGCAGCGAAATGAAGGCACGCATGTTCCCCCTGAACTGCTGGGTCTGGGTGCTCCGCAGCATTCCTGGGCTTGTCGGAATATGTCGGAATGTAGGCTTGAATTGGATTGCGATGGTGGCAAGCTGTAAGTACACCTAGTACACCGACTTGCCTTGGCGACAATACCAAACTCTATTAAGCCGTCCAGAACTCGTAGCAGTCGGGATTTTGAGTGACCTGGCAGCGCTGTTCGTGGACTTTTTTCGGACGCTGTGGGGCAGGGGAAAGCAGACTCAGCTTCGTGCCTTGTGCTTACGTCCTCGTTTCTTTCGGGTTTTGAAATTGAGTTCTTCTTCTCACAGTCGGCATTCTGCAACTTTGTCCCAAGCACCGCGTGTGTCCGGGCCCAAAGCACCGTTACATGGGAGCTTTGACAAAGGGGCCTCTGCCTTCCTGCAGCAGTCATGCTGGATAGGTTTGGTTGATGCCCAATTTCAATGTGGGCCGGCATAAAAGCCTCGTTGCTCACTTGTTACTTCGATCGTCTGAGACGAGATCTCTTCCATGGGTTGTGTTACGGAGATTCTTGCTGGGAGTGCGGGGAGCATCGTGGAGCGGCTCCCTTGTCCCCTCCCTGCAGGGATAGGTAGGAGATCCTGCTGCTCCGAGGCATTTGCTGAGCAGATTCTAGCAGATTTTGAGCAAAAAAAGCCCCAGATTCCTCCAGTTTCAAGGCGGCTGCAGGGATGATACGTTTTGGGTGCGACGGGACATGTGAGTTCGATTGCAGGTCGACACGCTCTCGAAGAGCCTCTTGGGCAGCAGAGTATGTCCTGGTGCTGACACATATTTACATTTCCGGCATCGAGCTCGTCAATGCCACCGAAGGCAACAAAACGGCACGCTTCTATGCGAAGTCCATCTTTGGCACCGCACTTGTACGGGAGGGCGAACCCGATGCGGGCGTTAATCTGCAAATCCTTTTCAAAGCCAGATGCTAAGGAGAGGATGCTGAGGGTTTGAGCTGGGACGTGCGAGGTGACAGGCGATTGGGAAGTGAGTCCCAATTGGAGCCACAGGGGACGCCTTTCTGGACAAATATCTTGGATTGTGGTCAGGGCCGAGAACTTCTACTCCGGCAGCTAGAGCTTGCAGCAGCCTCGGACGTGATGATTTCGGATAGACACGGTGACATCCTCTCGAATTAGGTACACTGTTGATCCTGCCCAGCTGAAGCATCTTCAAGCTCGGTTGAGCTGAGACACAGATGACCCGGTTTCCAATTTTCAGGCGGCATCCGCCGTTTTGGTAGAGAGGAAAAGGAAAGATCGGAAGCGTCGCATGCTGGAGCTGCGCAGTGGCACAACTGGCCTCGCTGGCCTCAGCAGCTCCCTGCTCATGTTGGCCTTGCATTTAGGCGTAACGGTTGTTGCTGACAGAAGCAAGCTTGAAGCCTGCAAGAGTAACTTGGCTTGGTCCGTGATTCCTATAGGTGCAGACAACCTGCAATGCAGAAGTTTCCATGCTGTATGTTGCAAGCCAAGCCCCGGACGTGCTGTACTTCCCTGAAGCATGCACTCATGCCTTTGCAAGCTCGCAGCCTTCCTAGAACAGCATCACTGCAGTGACTCTTCTGCTTCGTTTCGACGTACCATGGCTCGCAGTCAAGCGGCTGGGCACTTCAAGGACGAAGGTACGAGTGCCGGTGGTGCTTCCTTTGGCTGCACTGTGCTGCAGGCAGCTCCTCAAGTCACGATTCTCTCATGGAATCTGCTGCTGGATGACCTTATCTCCAATTTCATCCCAAGGCCCCAGTGGTGCCAGCCATGACGTCCAGTTTCAGGTTGATGGTAAACGATGCCCTCTCCGCTCACCCACCCTTCTTGTTTTCTGTGGGAAAGGACAATGAAAGATCCACCGGACGAGCTGCTGAAAGAAATTTACAAGGAGGCTCGTTTAATCTTGAGCCTCGCCCTGACTGCAAGCCAGTGCTGTTCCCGAGAGGGCGACCCAAAGAAGCAGTGGAGAGACCTGAAAGCGAAGATGAACGAGGACCTTTCGGGAGGAGCGGTGCCAAAATGAGATGCCAGCTGATCGTCCCAGCAGGAGTACAAGCCCTGGCACCAGATGAAAGATTTGATTAAAGATCCCCACGACGTCTCGCAGAAGCTTCGTGCTCTCTGGAGCCAGCCAGATCTGAAAAGCTTGGAGGTCCTGGGCCGCACGGCTAAGGTTCCTTGAAGTCGAAGTCTTCTGGCCCTATGTTTTCTCCTGGCAGGGCTGGGATCTCGGCCTTGAGAAGGAGAAAGTAAAAGATGAAGTGACCCTGGAGAAGCACCTGACCTGCCTGGGCGTTCTGCAGAAAGAGCTTAAAGACAAGGCCGGTCCTTTGCCAGAGTGTCTAAAGGCTGAACATCCTTGCCTCCAGAAGCCCTTCACATGCGAGTTTCAGGTTATAGGAGATCCCAGTGCAGACGGATCCGATTTATTGCAGCGCCAAATTGAAAGAAAGGTACCTTTCCCCCACCTTTACATTCCTTTGGGTGGGCGTGGAGGATTTGGGGCGAAGGGTCTACGACCAGATCGCAGAGGAAAACATCCACCGGACATGGGTCGCCCGGCGCATGCCCGGTGCTGCTTCGGTTCGTGGTTCTTTGCTTGCTCGTCGTCTCAGTTGCAGCATTGCGTCTTTTCTCTCTTGCACTAGACCCGTGCTGTTGGCACCCTGTCCATTGTGATTACTGTCTGTTCCTGTTTGACAACTTTGTCGTTAGACTAGTTGTCTTCTTTGCTGTGTCAGCCTGTCTGCGTTTTTGCCCTGCTTTCCTGAATGAGCCTGGTATTCAACTTCCAACTGAGGATAGACGGATGCCAAAGATTCTGAACAGGATCACGGAAGAGGCGCCGGATCTTGTGGCCTTTCAAGAGTATGTGACGTGGCAGATGTTTCAGATGCATGCTTTCTGGGATGCTCTCTGTGCATGCGTGGGTGAGTGGGCAGGCTGGAGGGTGGCAGCGAGTAGAAGTGCGGGCGTAAGTGTGTACAGAGCAGACAGGCAAACGAACATGCATGCCCGCTTACGTACATGTAGACATAGCCACATACATGTCGCACAGTGCACGCGCAGATTAGTCTGTAAGACTGTAAGACAAATAATTCTGTATGCATGCATGCATGCATGCATGCATTCGCAACGTCTATGCGTTTTCGACCCTCTGTGCTTGTTTTTCCTGGCGCATGGATTTCTGTCGTGCATGTTCCGTGTTTTCAGCAGCCTTTGGTTTCGGGGCGGGTGTGGGGTTTGGGTGGCGGGCTGGCTTGGCCACCGTCTTCTTCTTCCACCGCGGTAAGAGGAGTCTCTTCACGAGCGTGCGCCCTTCAGTATGACTTCGTCACACCGGCCAATAACGATGGCTTGGCACTTGTGCCTTTGGTTTCGGGGCGGGTGTGGGGTTGGGTGGCGGGCTGGCTTGGCCACCGTCTTCTTCTTCCACCGCGGTAAGAGGAGTCTCTTCACCAGCGTGCGCCCTTCAGTATGACTTCGTCACACCGGCCAATAACGATGGCTTGGCACTTGTGCCCTCATGGAGAGACCTGCTTGCTATTGAAGCTGATCCAAAAACCCAAAGCGAAACTGCCCTTACTAGAATGGCAGTTCTTCATGATGCATTCTCTCATCTGCTCAAGAGCGCGCTGCTATTTGAAAGCATTTGAACAAACCTTCCGATGCTGATGAGGTCACTTGCTTCACCTGTGCATCGCTACCAAGTCCATCACATCCAGATCCAGATCCTGCACTGGAACCTTCAGCTGAACATTCCTGCCGTGTGGGCCCATCCCGGTTGCGCAATGATGGAGCTGATGATACTGCTGAAGCTGCATGCGCTCCATCCGCAACGGTGGGGTGACTCTCGGATGTCTCGCAGTGTCCTTCTGATGAACCAACATGTGATAAATTTGCAACATGAGGCATCACACCCTGTGCAAGTACAACAATGTACATGTCACGATGAATGCTTGCAATGCCTTCTGGAGCAAGAATGGCCGGCTCTTTTGCATCGTCTAACTCAGTGATGCTGTTTTGGTCATCTGTCATCACGGCCACCGTGTAGTGACCTGCAGATGGTTGTTTGCGATGATGTCGGATCAATGCAACTGTACAGTAGGGAGTTTAAGCGATGTCGATGGTGTCCGACGCCACAAAACGAGGCACCTGCAGCTTTTGAGGAATGTCATACCAGGCATGAGTTTTCACAATGCGCGCTGCTCGATGCTGGAACCTTGGAAGTGGCAAAAAGAGTCATGGAGGCGAGCTGAGCATTGCCTGACGATGCTCTTGTGATGACCATTGATCTATCAGCTGCTGCACATTCGTGGTGGGTTTATGTGGTGCATGCATCAGGCCAATGCATTTGGACAACGGCGTATCCGCAGTCCTCTGCATCGGTGCGTCCATACCCCGTGATGGGACCTCGGTATGAGGCGAGAGTGAACGAAGTCTATGAACTCTGAAACGTCGTGCTGAAACTCAGGCGCCTGCCACCCCAATGTTACAAACCCCAAAAGATGAAAGGCTCTGCCATGGGAATGACCTGCCATGCTGCGAAAAGCTGTGGGCATCTGCTCAAGCAATCCCGTGCGCTGCACTGCAACATCCAAGGCGTACAGGAATGCATTTGCATAGCAGTGGTTACCAGGATTATGCAGACTGAAGCTGGGTTGATATGGCTGCGTGAGGTCCCGACCGTTGTCATTCGACATCATTGGCCGTAGATCATCTGCCCCAACTTCTCCGCCAACGGGCATCTTTTGAGTGTGCCCCGCTTGAGGGAGATCCCCGCAAGCTGCCAAGCCGCTGAGCCTATGAGTGTGCACATGGTTTCGTGCATCTCGTTGGCTTTCTCTCCTCGCAGAGAGAGTTCCAGGATGAACGTCGCCGGTGGTTTGGCGTCGGAGTTCGCCTCCAGATTCTTGAGTGACTGTGTGCTGTTGAACTTTTGGACAATCTCGCCCTGCATATGCTCCAGAAGAAGTGACACTAGTCTCACCAGTTCTTGATGACTCAAGTTGTTCTTCTTGGGATCCTTCACCAATTTCCGGGACTTGTGACAGAAGCGAAGAAACGTCCATTCCCCCTCTGCCGACATCCACCCCGCCGCCTGAAGCTTTCCCTGGCCTTCTGTTGTGGAAGACATCTTCTGAATGCGTGCCAATACTCCTTTATCAAACACGCAAACAACAGTGTTCGAAGTGGGGACTGCAGCTCCGGAGTCTCCTCGCGATTCACATTGTGCCATTTTTGAGATATCGAGTGCAGATTGGGAATGATGCTGGCATAATCTTGTCGCATGTACATCATGAACATTTTGTCCACCCTCTGCGCTGCAAGCATCTCCTCGTGCTGCAGCATCAATCTCGCTATGGTTCTGATCTGTGGATCCAGGCTCATCCCTTGGGGCTTGTTCCACTTCGGTCCTTTGGGACCCCTCTGTGCATGAGCCGGCTGTTGCTGCCGCCCGGCTCCAAACAGTGGGCTGGGTTCCGGGCGAGGGCGCTTGGGTGGCTGACTGGTCTCCGATGCTCTGTCCTGAAGATCCTGAGGCACCTCCTGCTGGGATCGCTGCAGCAGCGAAGGATCGCAAAAGGCGAAGATGTCCGCCTCCGGATTCAGGCCGGAAGCCATCAGAAGCGCTAGCCTGTGACCATTGGTAGCGGATGCGAGCGATACACAATTGGTAAAGGACGACACACTGTTGGGAATGACGACCTGGGGCTCCCACGTCCCGCTTGCACCAAGGGCAGCTTCGATCTCTCACAAGCTGGCTTTTGTAGCTGTGACAAAGAGTCAAGGCTTTTTCAGGTAAACCCGGCGTCTCAGGCTCATGTACCCTGGTGATGTGCTGTTTCACAGGTGGCATAAACTGCAGTGAGCCTGCAATTCCGAGCGAAGTTGTGGATTCCGAAGGAGGCTTTCCCAATTGGTCTGGGCAGCTTTGAAAAGAGCTCTGTCCACAAGAGGTACATTTTGCTGCACACCGGTGGCAGTATCTGTGACTTCAGTCGGCGGTGGCATGTCAGCATCCGCGGCCTGAGCATGATTGTTGCGAACAGGGTGCTTGCTGAAGCTTTCTCCCCCGAGGCCATCACAAGCTCCACTTTCGATGTGCTGTCGAAGATTCTGCCAGCGATAGAACATCCTGAAACAAAGCTGGCATCGGGGAAGGCCTCCACAGGCATGGAGCCGGGGCACAAACTTTGTGAGATTGTAGTCAGCTCGGGACGGCAAGAAAGCATGTGCAGCCTGACAGTGTAACCGCATGGCATTCTCAGTGAGAAACAGTTGTTCACACTCCGGGCACGGTATCTGGGGCAATTCCGCTTCTGGTGCCGCCGCATCAAGTGCAGCTTGCCTGTCAACGAGATCCTGCATTTTCCCTTCCAGTTGCTCAAGGTGAGCAATCAGATAGGGCTGTGTGGTGATGTCGGGGGCTTGCTGCGCTTTGGTCTGAAGCTGCGCAGAGCGCGAAGCATTTGCTGGCCTGGCATCGGCAAACACGCCTGTTGCCAAATGTCACGATTGGGTACATGAGTGAGGTGGGCAGGTTGTCTTTGGATCGCCCGGAGATGTCGGGTGCACGCTTTGGTCAATTTATCAAGGCCCTGTGTTGTCACACCGACAGCAGGCAAGGAGTACTGCATGCTAGTCGAGACACAAGCATTCCAAAGCCGCAATCTATGACACACACGCAACTGATGGTGGCCATTGAGGGTCTTTCGCAAAGCCTGATACTTGCTCTGTCCCGCTTGCAGCCTCTGACCCAAGTTTTTGTCAAGCCTATTCCGGTACGTCACTTTAGTTCCCAAGTATTCATGATCTTCTTTGATGGGGAGGAGCTGCCCGGCTCCTTGCACTTGGACTACAAGGTGCCTCACACCATTTTTTAGCCTGGTGTAGTCATGAAGGATCCCCTTTGCTTGTTTCCCTTCAAGTCTCACAAGTATCGCGGTTTTGCTGTAGTTGATTGACATTTTGAAGGTGATAAGTGTTTCCAAGACAACAACCAATTGACAGATGGCTTGTTCAAGGTCCTTTCTCTGCCGTATGGTCCAATGACACCAACGGTCATCTGCAAACAAAACCAGTGCCTGTCGAATCCACTGCGCCCCAAGTTTGTCACTCAAAGCATGCATCAGTGCAACCGTATAGAAAGACCACAGAAAGGGTGCAATGCAACATCCCTGCTTCAGTCCGTTCGTTGTGCATTGTGCTCCAACGTGATTGCCTGATCTGAGAATGTACTGTGCGTCGAGGTGTCGCCGCCACCTGCGAGCTATCACTTCCGGCCACTATGTCAGCCGCGCCAGGCTACTTTCCACACAGGGTAAACCAGTCACTCCTTGCCCTTGCGGCTCCGCTTCACCGGATCGTGCGCACGAATGGGTTTGCCCTCATCTCACGGGCTCTGCCACACCCCTGCAGCCACAAGATATCATTCAGGCTACGCTTGGATGGCCGCTGGATGCAGTAAAGGCTTCTAGCTATGATCCCTTCCTTGCACAAGTGATTCAAGCTCGCAGAACGTCACTTGCTGAGAGATACCCAAGTTAGGGCTGTGCCAAGACATGCTCTAAACCGTCTGCCGCCTCTGGTGGACTCAACACGGGAGTCATAGTTGACGCCCCCTTCAGCCATGTGCAAACCTGCAGGTGTGACCCCAGTCACGCCTGCTCTTAATGGCCGCAAGTCCGTGCCCGACTGCAGGCCTACAACGTGTACTACTGTAGCTGCTGGATGATGGTGATGGTGTCGTGTGAGACTCCATGTGAGGCCAGCGTGCCGTAGACAATGGGAAGATTGGTGAGATCATAGGCCCTGGAAAGGTCCAGGGACATGCTTATTCCACCTACGCATCCCTGACTCCGTCGACCA